AACATACAAGTATGTGTGAGTGCTCACTTGTCAAATTAAATAAGATACCTTGATCAAACGACCTAGAGCGGTTTTCTTTTGAGCACTGGGAACTAGAGCATCAGTCAACGACTGTGCAGCTTTGTTAAACTCAACCTACACAAAGCATATGGGCATGATTTGCAAGATTAAACAAGTAAAATAGCCTCAGTAGACTTGTAATCCTTCCATACCTCATATTTCTTAACATGTGAAAATCTATCTCGCCGGAAAAATGTAGCACAACCATCAATACTATTCATATTTCCACCAAATACCTGCAGACAAAAATGGTATCAGCTAATATATATATGTATATATATATATATATATATATATATATAGAGAGAGAGAGAGAGAGAGAGAGGTAAAAAAAAAAAAAAAAAACCTTTCATATGACTAACACTTTATAAATATAACCAACCTCAGAAGTTTTTCTTTTGAAAAGAGCTTGATAGCCATGCTTGTCCAGCTCAGGAGCAAAGAACTCTTCAAAATGATCACTTTGAACCTGAAAGGGAAGGACATCAGTGAAGGGGAAGAACTTACATGTTCATTTATCAAAAGAATAAAATGTAAACAAAGTAAAATGTGGCTATACCACGTATACATGGTCAACAATTATTATTAAAAAAAAAAAATCAATGGATAATAAATTTTGGTAAAAAGAATTATTGCATCATGCAAAACCATCAAAATTATAAGATGAGTGGCTAATTTGGAATGAGATATTTAACACATTTAGAAACTATCTATAGTATGAAGCCAAATTGCTACTTGTAACAATTACTCCTAATATTATGCACCATCGAATAAAATTTATCCTTATCCTATAGAGAGACTAAAACTGCCCTCCAAAATCCAAATTCTGTTAGCATGCATGCATACCTCTTGAAGACAAACAATGTCAGCACGATAGCCAACTATTTCACGCAATAGGTTCTGCCTACGATATGTCCAAGAAAGGGCCCAGGAGGGACAATAACTGTATAATTCACTTGTCGCATAGGAATCAGATAAGATGTTGTATGAGAGCACAGTAAACGTTCCGGAAGACGAAATGCGGCCACCTAAATCAGAAATTACAGGACCATCATCTTCTCTGACTGAAATCAAGCGACGTGGAGTAGGAGATGGAGCCGGAATCACACGAGATGTCAGTATAGTATTCACATGGCCAACTGGAATATTGGTTTCTGCCTCTAAAACAACACATTCAAATTTAAGGACATGACCAATATCATCACTGGTTGGTGTATATGTTTTAGACCGTCCAACTTCAAACCAAGTTTCACCACTCCTCTGTGTGACTGCTGCAGGGTATAATGGTGTTGCTCCATTGGCTAAGTTGCCAGCTGATTGTGATGGAGGCAAGCTTGTATTAACTACACCACTTCCTGTGCTATTATAGCGCCCAAATACTTCTTCCTCCTCATTTCCATTTTCATTGACAGCATTGGCAGCATGTTCATGCAAAACACGGTGATGCTGCCATGAATTTGCAAAACACTTAGGAGAGCAATGGTAACTCTTAGCAACTGGGATTTTAGCCTTAACACATCCAAGGCACTGTAATGTAGCTTGCTCGGATGGATGGACACTACAGATGGCAATTTTCCTGTCACTTTGAATGCGATACCTGTAAATTATTCCAGACAATTGGAATTACATGTCAATTCAAGAAATGAAAGTTAAACCAATCACCCAGAATGTTCAATCACCATGACTCATCTTTCATCACAAGCTGAAATATCAGTAAAAAGAAATCTAAGATGTTTCTCAAAGAAAGCGTGTTGCAGAGCAAATACTGATCATGATGTTTTTCCAAATTGGCTGGGCAATTACACAAACAAACCATCTAGTCAAAGGTGTCTTTGCATTGGTAAATGATAGTCTCAAGGACATTAACCAAAAGACATGTCAACTCTATTATATTCATACACATTACTTTCTTGTAATTGAATCTCAAGTGATACACTACATGTACCATTGAATCCTATATGGGTACAAATAAGTCAGTACCTAACAGTGGGTAATAATGGACTAAGCCCTTGGCATTCAATTTCAATGCCATTGAAGTCATTAATTACTATTACTATATTTTTTTTAGATGCATAGCTATTGATAATCATAACCACATGTATAGTGTATAACTACCCTAGATGGTAAACACAAATCTGCCACCAGAAAATAGCTAGAGATACAAAAAGTAGTTATATAGAAGAGTCTGTGAAATTGCCATTAAATCAACTTGTGAAATTAGACACACTGGCATGCAAACAAATGTTCTTTTACTTTTTTTTTTCTCTCTCCCTTTCATACGTAAAAACTTGTTAATCACATGAAGAAAAGGAGTGATAGGTTCACCTTGCATAGTTGTGCACATTATGGTTACATAACAGTCAATTTCTTAATCCCTCTGGTTGATATCAGTCCAGTTTGCATTATCATCTAAGATCTAAGACATCATTTGTCCAATAACTTTATTAAGGCACTAACACCCATAGTTTTCTGGGGCATTGTACAAATTGATACAAATTTTCAACATTTGCAATGTTGTTATGTTAATGCAAACACTTTTCCATAAGGAGCCTATTGGTATGCAAGGTTAAGTCCAAGCACAGGATTTAGGCACAAAGTTTAAAGGCAATTGGAGGAGGGTTGGATTTGCAATGCATGAATTGCAGGTAAATGCACAGGATAATTTCACAAAATATCCTTAATCTATTCTCAATTATATCCTTAATCTCTACACCAAACATGAACTAATCTAATAAACTATCAAGTATAGTGTGTATAGAAACGAATCCAACTAAAAAAAAGATGTGTTAACAGTAAGCCCATTTGCTTAAAAGAAATGTAGGTTAAGGCACAAATTGTATCCTCTTCTAGGCAAACATAAGGGGAAATCATTGTAAGAATGAAAAATTTCTCTTAACACAATAACTATGTTTAAGCATTATGCATAACCATTACAGATTGCTCCAAAATACTCCCTAGGGCCCAAGGGCCCAGCAATAGAGCAACAATTCCAATCACAAAAAAGAGTACATAAAGCAATAATGCCAAAATAACTGCATCTTCAAAAGTAAAATAGCAGCAATAATAATCATTCATCAAAAAGAAAAAAAAAATTATGTATATTCTTCCATACAAGGAGAATAAAGAATGAACTAACTGACCACTTGTATCTCAAGAAGTGGCCATTGATGGGGGCGGACTCGGGGACATCGTCAGTGGCGACAGACTTATCAGGGAGGCGCAAAAGAACATAAGGTGTGAGCTCGCAGCCTACTATGGGAATGTCTGACGGAAGATGCACTCGCAGCACAGTCAGCATTCTGGGATACGCAGATTGGTCCACTCTTCTTTTCTCACTGATTCTAGAGCTACAGCTGATACTTCATAACCAACGTCGTTGACGCAAACTAAGGCTTCAAATTCGGAACAGGGGACAATAACAGACCTGCGGCGGCGGACGTGAGGCGGTTCCGCCATCACCTGATACCAGCAACAATCGCCAGCCTTACCTACCTCTCCTCTCTTCACCTCTATCTATCTATCTATCACGCCCCAAAAATCCTCAAAATCTTGAAAACAAATATCCCTTCACGAAGAACAATCGCAAACCCGGGGAAATGAAAAGAAATGAAAATTAGCAATGAACCTTTGAAGAAAGATTGGGAGATGATTTGAAAATAAAATGCCGTGGCATTCGATTGAAGAAGAAAAACTGGGAGAATTGAAGACGAATGGATCAATTAATGGATCGACGGATCTGACGAGAGAAAGAAGAAAAGCAGAAAGTAAGATATTTTAGAATGGAAGGGGCGAAGGAAGGAGGGAGGAAAGGAGAAATTAGATTTATCGGATTTGATTACAGAGTTAGGGTTTTACACGGAATAGAGGAGAGGGGAGGGAAGAGAGAGACGAGGGTCGTCTCAGCCTCAAATAACCATATATATAAACTATAGATGCATAATTGCTTGCATATGTGATGTATATACCGCCGTTTGATTTAACATTTATTCTTTATTAGATATTATTATAGATATAGATTATAGATTAGAAAAACAAAAATGCTTTGACACATGACATGATGCTGCTTTAGGAAAATAAATTTTTATTTTTATTCTTAATCTTCCGCCTATTTTATCTATCTAATCATATTAGAAAACTAAACAACCTTATCAAATAAGGGATAATATTTACTAATTATTTATATAAATCTAATACCAATTATATGTATAAATTTATATTCTAAATTATCTATATTAAACTAAATATGTCAATATAATACTCTTTTCATCTCATTATATGTATCTGGTTCGATTAAATCAATTTTTCATAATATTAAATTTAAAATTAGTATACCAAATTTATATATTTAGAAATTACGTTAAAAATATTATTTAACACAAAAATTAAATTTAAAATAAAATAAGTAAAAAATACTATAAAAAATAAACAAAAAAATGGTTTATTTGAGCAACGAAAAGTAAGTAAGACATCTATTTGAAGGCATACACTATTATTGACTTGTTTGAATTATAAAAAATTTAGCATGAATTTCTAAGTTTAAGATAAAGAGTGTCTATATTAATTAATTTCATATTTTACTATTCAACACACTTATAAAGTATTTGCCTCAATAGCATAATCTTTAAATACGAAAATCATATTCCACTTACTCATTTATTAAAATGATATAAGTAATTGAGATGAATTTAAGCAATCATATCTTTCCTCTTATCTCCTAAAGATTATATATCAAATTAGTCTCTTCCAAAATGGGAAAGGGGCAAGGGGAGGGTAAGTTAGAAGACTAATCAAGACAAGGAGAGTTGACAATATATGGCAATACGAAGAACATGTCTCATGACTTGGCATTAGAATTAACATAAGAGCCAAGTGCATGGCCACGAAAATGTAATATGAAATTGTACTTTGCACTTCAATAGAAACCACCACGCCCAACACTCAATCGAGAATGATCTATAATTTGACACAAAGGCACATAAATTCAGCAAACATGTTCAACTACAAATATAAAAGGCCAACACAAAAAAATTCAAACAAAACCGAGTGTGTGGACATGAAAACAACATTAATTAGAACTCTGATTAACTGTTCATAAAACGATAAAGACATCTCGAATAAACAAGGAATTTAGTATCCTCCCTTGAGATCATTGACCACATCATATGGGATGGGTGTTACGGTTTCTAGAGTGGCACCTTCCACCATAAATCCAGGTTTGGGTCCTTTCGGCTGCCTCTTAGTACTAATCACCACACCTTTGGCTTTTGCTTCAGCCTTGAGCTGATCATTTTTCTTTACCCTCTCCTTAAACTCTTCAGTGCACCTTGAAAGTTGAACATGCTCAATACGAACATGGATTCTCTTCCTGATGATCCTGTTGCCAACCTGTGTTAATGATCAGCAACATAATTTGATTAACAAAAGGAGGAAAAACAACAAACTAGCAAAGTCACCAAGTACAGTCTACTAAAACTATAAAACAAAGAAGTGATATTAGAGTACAACTTCAAAGATTTATAGGTAACAATGTATCTTTAGGAAAATGTAGTTATCCTGGTTATGATTCGTAATGTAGAAGACCTTAAATGGAAGGATATGCAAAACACCTTGTGAAATACAGAACATTCATTATGAACTTGTTAATTCAATGACTTCATCTATCAAATTAAAAACAACTTATAAATTAATAGAAGCTGAAATCTAGGGCACAGCATTCCTATAGACCAGTAATAGCTAAATATAAATGCACTATACGATACAAGACTGGTCTGCTTTTTTACACATTCCCTTTCTTACAAACTCCAGTGGTGTCACTTCCAATTTTTTGACTGTGCAGAAGTTCTCTATGATCACAAGCTTAACATAAACTAGTAAACAATCAAAAACTAACCGATCAACATATCCAAAATCATTCCCAATGCAAATCACTGGCCTGCAAACGAAAATTCTGGCCACCATGCCTAATTAAAGACTTTAAATACACAAAACTATAGCCACTTTCAAACATCGAACGTTTAGAATCGCATAAACAACGAACAATTAGCATAAAGCTAACATTTAAATATTTCATATCTATATAACTGCACAAACAATTCATTTGAACATAGAAAGCCAAATAAGCAGCAATGATACAGATTGGTAACAATTAAATAGCTACGAGTGTGGAGACTGTACCTGCTTGTTGACTTCGACACCAATGGCGCGCTTAGTGACGTTCCAGACGCGGCCGGTGCGACCGTGATAGAACTTGTGAGGCATGCCCTTGTGGATGGCACCGTTCACCTTTACGTCAACGTAGTCGCCGATGTGGAAGATACGCAAGTAGGTGGATAGCGGAATGGTCCCGCGCTTCCTGAACCCGCGAGAGAAGAGATCTCTCGTCCTCGCCCTTAATCCGTGTCCGGCAGGCATTTTGCTTTCTCTTCTTCTTCTTCTCCGACTGGGTAAAGTGTGGGTCGAGAGAAAACGCGCAAGTGAAACCCTGGATGTTTATATGGTGAGGAATGATAACTAGGGTTTTGAGTGGGAATGGACCGCTAGGGTGTGCATGTTTTGGACCTTCAACCCGGTGTTCCATATTCATGCTATTTGGATTAAGTCCAAAAGAAGCTGTATTGGGCCGAATGAAGCCTCAAGTAAAATATGTCTTTTCCGACTATATTATGGGTCGTTATATCGTGCACCGCGGTGCATAATCGATTATGCACCGCGCAGTGTTAACAGAGTGACGCTACAATGTATTTAAATCGATATTGCCTCACGTATTATTTTTAACTATCAAATGAAATTGCAGTATATATAAAATGAAACTGAATAACATTTCACATATTTGAATGTATATTGTACAATGAAGCTGTAATTATATCGAAATGGTCATGTAGTTGTGTTTTAATAAAACTAAAGTGTATATAAAATAAAATTAAATAACATTTTCACATATTTGAGTGTATAAATATTGAATGAAACTGTAGTTATATCGAACTGAAACTGTAGTTGTCTTGAACTGAAACTGCAGTGTATACAAAATGAAACTGAAGAACAGAGTTATTTTTTTGCGGATTCCGTTTCTTTTCTATTAAATAAAACGACGTCGTTTTGATGTGCGGTGCACGATATAATTTGCCGTTAAATAACTAATACACGCCAAGCATTTTGTGTTCAGATAACACCTTTATGGCTCTTCTTGAAAGAAGGTCGCATGATCAAATCCGATAGTGAGATATTAACTCTTTGGGCTGCAATAGATAGAGAAAGTGTTGAACAAAATGCCCACGCAATTATAATTTCTATGAAAAGATGTAGGACTATTAGCAAAGGGCAATTTGATCCTCGCATTACAATTCTTATTTTTATTTTTTTGAAACAACAAAATTTCTTCTCATGTATTATGGAATTGCAATTTCTAGGGAAGAGGTATTTACAATTTTTCAAATTTAAGGAATTGTAATTCCATAAAATTGGAATTCTTCCCAATCACATTTTAAAATTTGTCACTTCTTGAAGAAAGGAATTGCAATTCCTCTCTTGTTAACACATGTCATTGCGTCTAGTTCATGTTATATCACATAACCATTGCAATGTGAATATTGAAATACCATATACCCTTATTTGGTTAAAACGATTATGAACCTTTGATCTTTAGAAAATATGAATTTCGATCTCAAACTTGGTTTTAGTTATTTTTCGTTGGAGGTTTTAGTTATTTTTCGTTAAAGTTAATTCCACCGGAGATCCCTTGTCTTTGATGACAATTTTAAATTTAATCACAGACTATTATTTTTTGTCATTTTACATCCCAGCTATTGTTTTTTGGACACTTTTTGTCCTTTTTCATGATTTTTTTTTTTTTTAGTAATGGCATTTTTGTTTCTTCATATTTTTCTTTTGTTATTTTTCCGGTTTCAATCCGTTTAATTGGTTTAGAACTTTAGGTAACCTCTGATTTTTAGTAACCATATTTGCAACTAATTTTTAGTAAAGTCCTAAATCAATTAAAGTGGTTGAAACCGGAAAAATAACAAAAGAAGAATATGAAGAGACAAAAATGCCCTTACTAAAAATAGAAAAAATCATGAAAATGACTAAAAGTGTCCAAAAAACGATAGTCTAGGATATAAACTGGCAAAAACAATAGTGTGAGACTAAATTTGAAATTGCCACAAAAGACAATGGACCTCCGGTAGAATTAACTCTTTTTCGTTATATCCATAATAAGAATCACATGGCAAATTATGTTGTGCATCCGTATGCACCCTGCATGGTGCATACGGATGCAAAAACGACGTCGTTTTGCATAAAACGCGCACCCTACTTAAAAAAAAAAAAAAAAAAAAAAAATCAGTTTCGATTCCCAGCAACAACATTATGTTATTTATTTTTAATTCATTCATTTTGAATTTTTTAGTTATGAAATTCTGGAAGTGTAGTTATGCAATTCTGGATGTGTAGTTATAAAGTTATAGATGTGTAGTTATGCAATTTTGAAAGTGTAGTTATGCAATTCTGGATGTATAGTTATGAAATTATGGATGTGTAGTTATGCACAGCATAACGCTCCGAATCTCATCCCCTCAATTTCATACGTTATGTGAGATTTTTGAAAATGAAAAAAGGATCAAATAGACTTCTAAATCATATGCAAAGTAGCAATTAGCCTTCTAAACAATTAAGTACGTTCTCATCTAATATATATTTGAGTTGTATTTATTTTTGCATCGTGCATGTATCAAGACAATCATATAGTAGGTGAGACTTTTACAAAATTTGTGTTATTGAGCTAAACGGTCCAACCCGACTATTAATAGCTAAATAGAGCATGCAGCAATTATACTGGGAATATGGTCCAAGAGACATTATAGTGTATCTAAACTGAGATTGTCTCACGTATTATTTTTATGATATTATCAAATGAAACTGCAATTGAATTAAAATGAAACGAAACTGTAATTCTGTTGAAATGAAACTGCAATGTATCCAAAATGAAACTGAATAACAATTTCACATATTTGAGTGTATATTGTCCCGTGAAATTGTAGTTATATTAAAATGATACTGAAGTTGTGTTGAAATTAAACTGCAGTGCATATTTGATGCGTGGACCATAATGCATTGTTCAAAACAACGTCATTTTGATGTTTAAAAACAAAAAAAATCACTCTGTTGTGTGGACCGTGATTTAATTGCATAATAAATAAAATGTCCGTATGATTATAAATGAGTGGCCAAGCAAACCCTAATGCAATTCTTATTGTGTGAATCATACTATCAAATAATATATCGTCACTAGGTTTAGTATATTAAAAATATATATTATATTAATAAAAAATATATTATTTTATATAATGTATATTCATTACACGAATAATGTACTTTTAGTATATTAAAAATATACTTTTTATTATAGTGCATTAAACACTTGGGTGAATTATGGTCCAGTAAAAACACTATTGTAGACCATAGTCTACCCAATAATTTGCTTACAAATGGGTTGTAAAAGTATAAACTGAAGTACCCACCACACTTCGATCTTTCTTGGAGCTAGACTTGATCTGAAGCCAAGATACTCCAATATTACCACTGCACCATGGCCAAAACCTTCCAAAAGCTCTGTTCATACCTCCTCATATTCTTCTTCTTCTTCTTCTTCTTTTCAAACCTTTTCGTAGCAAATTCCCATGATTTCTCAGTGACACTGTCAAAGAGAGCAGTGGGTCTCCGGAGAGAAAAGCTAAGCCACCTCCACTTCTTCTTCCACGACACAGTCACCGGCAAAAACCCCACCGCCGTCACGATCGCCCGTGCCGCAACGACCAACGAGTCCCACACCCGTTTTGGGTTGATGGCCATGATGGACGACCCGCTGACCGCCGGCCCAAACCTCTCCTCCAAGCTGGTCGGAAGGGCACAAGGAATATACGCCTCGGCGGCGATGGATGATGTTTGCTTGTTGATGGTTGTCAACTTTGCGTTTGTGGAAGGCAGGTATAACGGAAGCAGCCTGAGCGTGGTGGGCAGAAACAAGGTGTTTTCCGGCGTGAGGGAGTTGCCGATCGTCGGCGGGAGTGGGGTGTTCCGGTTTGCCCGCGGCTACGCTCAGGCCAAGACTCACACACTTGATATCAAGACCGGCAATGCTGTTGTGGAGTACAATGTTTATGTCTTCCATTATTAGTTAACCTTAATTAATTAGCTGTTTGGCTTTGCTTAATTAACTTGAGATATTGTGCCGTATAGTACTTGAAGAAGATGGTAACTGGTTTGGTAAGGTTAGTTTCTATATATGTCCTAAGAATGAGTTGTCCTCATGAATTTCATATTTCAACTTGATTGTTGCATAATGCATATACATGTTTTTGTTGTTGTTATTTAGTGACTCGGAAACCCGCAGTCACTACATGAAGCTGTGCACGGAATAATCAGGTCTTATGACTGAAACCTAAAAAATCAAAATAAAGTAAATCAACTTAGATTGTTCATATATATAGTTGACATGTTCAAATTAATAAAGTCAACAGGTCATTTTGTTGGAAATCAAATTTATAATTTTATAGTTACCTAATCAACACTTTGATGATGAATTTGGTTGGATTAATTACCCTACAAATACATGTTTTCTTCTTCTGCAAGGTTGTTGTTGGTCATCATGGACAGACCAATTCAAGAACCTTAACTTGTTTAGTAAAAGTTGGTAGATATGTGCTTTCCTAAAAGTGGGATATATAGCTACTTGATGCTTGAGTTTAACGTGGATAGCATTAGAAGTGACATATCTAATGCTTGCATGCTAACAAATATGAAAAGCAAAGAGTAAAACTTAAGACTTTCCATTTAGAATAATCATTTCATACGATCACAAAATCATTTGGCCTCTAATTCATTTGATTGAAAGACAACAAAATTAGATGAAAATAGTTTTTTTTTTTTTTAAATAATCAAAGCACGGCAAATTTGTACGGAGTAGTAGGTTGCAACCATTCAAATGGTCCACCTTCAAAGTTGGGATTCACTTTTGACTTTGAAATCCTTGTTTCAATGAAATAACATTATGATTCTTGAAGTCGGTGCTGCCACAAATACGACAAATGGTGTATGGGTTGGTTAAAGTGTGTTGAAAATACGTACAATTGAACCAACCACACACACCGTTGTCTGCGGTTCACCTTGAGCCCACACGGAGAGCTTAATTAATTTGTGAATGATTGACTATAAGTAAAAACACAAAATAAAATTTTAACAATAATCATACAAGAGTTATACTCAATGTGATAGGTTCTTTGATAGCATTAGACATAACATTTCACGTCTAATAAATTGATGAGTTATTGCAATTTATCGTTTTACCATTTTGTCTGATCGAAATGTGGGTTCAGGGAAAAGGGTAGACAAGAAAGATAAATTGAGTTGGTATGAACAATTTAGTTGGTTACAAAGAGTGAAGTTTCAAAAAAATAACAGGGATCGAGTCTCACTAGCAGCCGAGAATAATTTCTCAAAGTGAGACAGTTTCGATCTTTGTGTATAATAAGCAAAGATCTAACATCTCTGAATTACTATAATTTACATCATCTCATATGCTTTTTCGTGTCAGGGTATGGGCCGTAGGTCGGGGATTCAAGGAAAGAAGAAGAAAGATAAATTGAAGTGTACCCACTCCACTCCTTTCTTGAAGACATAACTAGCAGGGAAAGTGGGAAGTGATGAATTCCAAGACCACAATGGCTAAAACCTTCCAAAAACTCACTTCTTCCCTCTTCATCCTCCTCTTTCTCCTCTGTGCTTCAAATCTTTTCCCAGTAAACTCCCAAGAATTCGCAAGAAAACTCTCAAAGAAAGCTATGGGACTGAAAACAGAGAAGCTAAGCCACCTCCGCTTCTTCTTCCACGACATAGTCAGCGGCAAGAACCCCACCGCCGTGAAGATAGCCCAGGCCGCCGCCACCAACAAGTCCGCCACCGGGTTCGGGTTGATGGCCATGATCGACGACCCCTTGACCGCCGGCCCAGACGTCTCCTCCAAGCTGTTCGGAAGGGCACAGGGGGTATACGCCTCGGCGGCAATCGACGAGATAGGGTTGTTGATGGTTCTCAACTTCGTGTTCGTGGAAGGCAAGTATAACGGAAGCAGCCTGAGCGTGGTGGGCAGGAACGCGGTGGTTTCCGCCGTGAGAGAGATGCCGGTGGTGGGCGGGAGTGGGCTGTTCCGATTTGCTCGCGGCTATGCTCAGGCGAAGACTCACACATATGATCCCAAAACCGGCGATGCTGTCGTGGAGTACAATGTTTATGTTTTCCATTACTAGTAGTACGTAAACCTTAATTAATCAATGTATGACCTACTTTAATTCTCTACTTTTCTGTCTGTTTTGGAATATGGAGTGGGTTTTTGCTTTTGTTTAAATTAAGATTAAGATATTGTGCACTATATAAAGTGGGTAAACTGTTTGGCAGTGTTCGTAAGTATGAGTTGTACTGTATAACCGACATGATTGTCACGTTTGATAATTATATTGATCTGATCTATATATTTTGTTGCTTGATCCTTTGTAAAATGAACTGTTCTTTGATCTTTTTGATGCTATAGTGATTAAACATGTGTTTTTATTGATTTATTTGCATATATGTATCACATTTGATTATTTTGGAATTAAAGAATGACGATAGTATCTTTTAAGTTTGATACATGATCGTGATTTTGTATAATAATAGAGTGAACAAAACTACTACTTGATTAGAGGTGTTAGAAATAAAACTCGAGATATCAAATTCAACTAACATTATTGTTATATTTGTCAAAATTTGAGACGTCGAAATCAGAACTTGAAACGTCCAGATTCTCTCATTCTATTTAATTATTATGTTTGTATTCGACAATCTATTTTTATTGGTTGATATTTATTTATTTATTTATTTATTTACTAGTTTTTTACGCACTTTGCGCAAATGAGATAATGCGCAATTATTATTTTTAAATAAGTATTTCAAAGTACATCAATGCAATATTATATATGAGATGTTCATGCATAGATAAATAAATGTTGAATTTGTTTATTTTAATCGGTAATTCAATTATATAAATGCAAAATAATACATAAGAGATTGATTATAATTGTCACTAAAATAAATATTTGTAACTTTGTAATAACCTAAAGCGATAGTCTAAATAAATACTACTTTTAATTTAAATTTCTCTAATTCTTCTTAATTCTCTTTTTTTGTAGCATTGTCATTGTCTTCATCTTCCGTACATGCCTTTTTTATTATTAGTAGTAGTAGTGTGTTTTCATGTGCAATTGGGTTACTGGTGGTAGCATAAAGGGATTCATCATGCAATGAGATTATAGTGTAAGAAGCTTTAGGGGTGTACGTATTCAATTATAACTTTCATAGGATTTTAAAGACTTTTATGAACTTTAAAAGTTTGGAGTTATTCTATTCAAACTTTTAGAGAGTCTTTAAAAGTCAGACGGTATTCAATCAAGATTTTGAAAGAGTCTTTAAAAGTCGTGTGATATTCGATTAAGACTTTTAAAGAGTCTTTAAAAATCATATGGTATTCAAAAAGTTATGAAAGACTTTTTAATTGCCAGGACTTTTGTAGACTTTTTCTTCTCAAATATAAATAGTTGAAATCCAACCATCAACCCCAAGATTTCAAAATTTTTTTCTAACAACTTTGAATGTTTTCTCTCTCTATTTAAACTCTATCTTTTCCTCATATTTAAATTTTATAAACCTATCTAAATTTAATAAAATTATTATTTTCCTTCATTATCCTATATTTTCCTCATATCTAAACTCTACCAGTTTTTCTCTCTTCTATTTACAATCATTCTCTAAAAATTCGAAATAATATTATTTTTACTTCATTATTTGCTTGTTTATATTGATTTTTATTTTTTCTATGAATTTTTTTATTCTTAATTTTCTCTAATTTTCTCTAAATATATGAACAAAGCAAAATTTTCATCGTAAAATTTTATTATATGTTTCATAATATTCATATAAATACTTATATATTTTGATGTTTATTATTTTTATGTTTATATTCGTAATATATATTTCAGCCCGAACCCTTCTTCATTCACTCATCGTCAGGCACAGACTGAGGGGGCTTCTTGATGGGGAATATACCCCGGGTTCAAGCTCCCCGTACACTCCGTGCTCTCATTTTATAGTCGGGTCGGGGTCAAACGGTTCGGGTCCCGGTCTACGGGTCAAAGTCAAAGATAGCGGGTCAATCCTTGGGCCTATATAAGGGCCATTGACCCTCATTTTTAGGGGGTTCTTTCCTCTACACTCTCCCTCTCTCTAAAGCACTCTCTATTAGAAGGAGGATTTTTTTAGGAATTGGGCGGGAAGTTAAAGTTAAGGATTTTGTTTTTATATATAGTATAGGTTAGAATAGGAACTGTATTACACTATTTTATAATATTAGAATAAGCATTTTAACTTAGAATTATAGTACGAATATGAAAATAGAAAACAATATATTTTTATTAGAAAGAGAGATTTTTAAGCAATTGGGCGGGAAGTTAAAGTTCAGGATTTTGTTTTTATATATAGTATAGATGTGTGTGTGTAAACTGTAAAACTATGTTGATGCAAAAGGATTCAAACCCTTGACCTTTACTATTTCCAAACATATGTTCTACCAACTAATCTAACTCATTTATTATTAAAGTTAATACCATCCGAGGTCCTCCGAGTATAGTGGTTTTGCGGTCCAAGTTATCCACTCATGGTCCTTCAATTATTAAATTTTAACCAACCATGGTCCTTTCAAGAGGATCACAACTGGTTAAGTTTTGAAACTCGAAGGACCATGAGTGGTTAACTTGGACCACAAATGGTTAAATTTGAAAGTCGAAGGACCACAGATGGTCAATTTGAAAGTTTAGGACTAAACGTGGCAAAACCAGTATACTCGGAGGACCTCAAGCGGTATTAACTCTTTTATTTAATAGTTTTTTTTATACTAATACTAAAACTGTTCTATATATACATATATACATACAAAGATTACATATGGGGTGGGGTGGGGGGAGGGGAAGCTGCCCCCTACCCCCCTTTGGCTCCGTCCTTGGGTAGCCCGAATTACTAAACCCGATAAAGAACGTAAATAATGAGAGTATTTTAAAGAAGACAGAAAAGATAAGTAAAAAGACTAAAATACCCTCTTTATTTTACCTATTAATATTTTTCGGTGAGTTTTGGAGGGCAATTTGATCAGAGTGACCAAAATTGATAAAAATTGAATAGTTAAGGTACTAAATTGACAGTTTTAAAAGTCATAGATTGAAATTAACAAGACCTCAATAATTATAGGACCAAAAGTGAAATTAACTCCAAAGACATATCTTTCACATTTTCAATGGCCAAAAGAAACAAATCAACGGAGCAGAATATCATAGCTCAAAATATCCTCGTTGAATGCAAAAGGGAGTTAAGTAGGGTGGAGGAATGGAATGTTTCTCTGATCTTGCGTGAACAAAATCGTGTTGCGGACGCATTAGCAGCCATATCCAGAAGTCTACCAAAAGGATTATAGCTCCTCAAAGTTCCGCCGGATGAGGTCAAGGCATTGCTTGAAGATGCCGGATGTGGAGTTCTAGCATGGCGCCAAACCTATATCTGATCAGTCGTTATATCGTGGACCGCCGTGCACGTATACCGCGGTCAAAACGGCGCCATTTCTTTTAGTAAAGAAACGACGCGCTGTTATAGTTAATGGAGTGCACATATTTGGTGTATTAATTATTAACTGATACTATGTATCTAAATCGATATTGCGTCACGTATTATTTTATATATTATCAACTGAAACTGCAATTCAATTGAAGTGAAACTGGTATCTAAACTGACATTACCTCACGTATTATTTTTATATTATCAACTGAAACTGCAATTGAATTGAAATGAAACTGTAGGTGTGTTGAAATGAAACTGCAGTATATATATAAAATAAAATCGAATAACATTTCACATTTTTGAGTGTATATTGTGTAATGAAGCTGTAGTTATATCGAAATGATCATGTAGTTCTGTTTTAATGAAACTATGGTGTATATAAAATAAAATTAAATAACATTTTCACATATTTGGTGTTATAATATCGAATGAAAATGTAGTTATATGAAATGAAACTGTAGTTACATCGAAATGAAACTACAGTGTATACAAAATGAAACTGAATAACAGAGTTACTTTTTGCGAAATGGCGCGGAACGACACGAAACAGATGGCGTTTGTTTTCATTAAATAAAACGACGTCATTTTGACGCGCGATGCATAATCAATTATGCACCGCGGTGCACGATATAATTTGCCCTAGCTGATTGAAATTGTATTTCGGTCTTGTATGGTTCACCCCTCCATTAAATATTTTAAAAAAAAACAAATAAAATTAAGTAAATATTATTATAGTTTAATTTTTACCATAAAAGAGAAAACAGTTGAAAATAAAAATAAAAAATAAATGTCATGACTTTTTCTCAGGTTCACACGTTTTTTAGTGGCAATGGTGATTTCTTCATTTTGATTCTCTAATATAGATTGACTTTTATATAATTTGTTATTATATATATATAAATTGGAGTAATATATCATTGCTAATCTCTACCAGCGCATACATCTCAATATCGTATTGTGTTTCTATTCCAAAAGTAGCATTCTTTCTCTATTACAATTTTTAATTCTTAATCCTTATATTTCAAATCTAGATTGTGTTGTTTTCTTTACTGCCTTCAGTTTCGAATCCTTAATTCTTGCATTGTATTTCAGATCTAGATTGTGTTGTATTCTTTTATGTTTCTCTACTACAATTTCGAATTCGTAATCCCTGCATTGTATTTTAAATGTAGATGGTGTTCTATTCTTTTCGATTTTCATATTGCAATTTCGAATTCTTAATCCCTGCATTGTATTTTAGATTTAGATTCTATTGTGTTCTTTTCATTTTCTCTATTGCAATTTTGAATTCTTAATCCCTACACTCCGGATGTAGATTGTGTTGTATCATTTTCGGTTTCTCTATTGCAATTTTGAATTCTTAATTCATGCATTTCAGATTTATATTGTGTTGTGTTGTATTCTTTTCAATTTCTCTTATGCAATTTTAAATTTTTAATCCATGCATTTCAGATTTAGATTGCTTGGAATTTAGATTAAATCAATTAATTGGATTTAAAATTCTGCGCTTCTTTCCAGGTTAAGGTTATGGTGAGCAACGATGAGCTGGATGAGAGTGAGAGGTTTGCTAAATTGGAGGCGAAATTCGAAGAGTTGTATGTTATTGCCATGAAAAGGGAAAGTTTGATTGACGAGATGCATGTCATTGTAGACGAGCTGCTCCACATAGCGGAGGAGACCAAAAAGGCTTTCGATCATGAGATTACGATGTTGGTGACTTTGGCGCACAAATTGCCTGATCAAATAATTGCTTTAAGAAAAATTGTTTTTAAGGAAAAAATGTCAAATAGACCATTGAATTTTTACACTTTATATACAAATAAAAATAAAAATTATGTCATAACAAATTACTTTAAAGTTAGTGAAGTTCTCTTAATGCAGAGTTTTAGTGATAATTGATAAGTCAATAAAAATTAATTTATTGTTAAACATAATATGTCTATAAATTTATAATGGGTTTACTAATATTGTTAGAGTAATTAAATTAAATATATGTAATGAATCTAGAATGCATGGCCGGATTCAAATGTTTTCATTGTGTATATTTTTGAAACTTCAATTGTAGTATTTGAAAATGGTTAATTCCATTTTTGTTATAGATTTATAAGTGATAGTCAACTTTTAGTTATTTTTTATTAGATAATATAAAAAAAAATTATAATATAAAAGAATGTTATATATAATAGTATTTTTACCCGTGCGATGCACGGAATGAATTTGTTATAATATATTCAAGGGAAAATGACACTTTTTACCCCTGAGTTATATACTTATAGCATTCCCCCCCCCCCCCCCCCCTCAATTATTTACCCGTATAATAGTATTTTTACCCGTGCGATGCACGGAATGAATTTGTTATAATATATTCAAGGGAAAATGACACTTTTTACCCCTGAGTTATATACTTATAGCATTCCCCCCCCCCCCCCCCCCCCCCTCAATTATTTAGGTAAGCACATTAGCCCCCTCAATTATTCTAAAAGTGGTGTTTTTTCCCCATGATATATTAAATTGACATTTATACCCTTAAAGTAAACATTTTATTTATTTTACTACTCCAACAAATTATTGCGTATACGTAGGGATGACCACGGTTCGGTTTGAATTGAACCGGATACTAAAGCAATCGAATTAATAGTTTCCGGTTATAATTCAGATCTAGAATCCAATATTTAAATGTCAATTTATTAAAATTATGTATCAACAAAATTGAATCTTGAACCGTGAACCGGCGGTTCCGGATCCGATTCGCGATTTTGAACAGTCTTTATTTTAAAATTTTATTTTTTATTTTAAAATAGTCTAAATTCAACAATAAATGTATTTTATTTTTTCAGTATTTCGAACCGTCCATTCCGGTTCACGATTTTAATAAACTCTAAATATCGAATTTCGATTCTAAATTGTAACTGGAATATTTCGGTTTGGTTGCTATAGTGTTTGTTTGGTTTGAACCAACTTATGGTCATAATTTGTTGGAGAAAAAAATAAATTAAATATTTAGTTTAAGGGTAAATATGTCCATTTAACATTTCAGGGGGAAAAACAGCCACTTCAATAATTTAGGGGGAAAAAATGCTATAGATATATAACTCAGGGGGAAAAAGTGTCATTTTCCCTATATTCAAAATATTTTAATGGATATATAATTATTTAAATTAGAAGATCAAATATTATATAGTGCAATTAAAAATATGGTTTGGATCGTTTATGTATTTTGATGTTATCATTGCTTGAATTTATGCAAATAATAGCTCAAATTAATAGCTAATGTCTAGATGTAAACATGCGGTGCTATAACTTTGAAGATTTTATTTATCATTGTTTGTAAAATATTTTCTAAAAATAAAAACTAAAATAAGAAGCCGTTAAGCTAAGACATCTTAAATAAGAGCCTTTTGGCTTCTCAAAACTTGCCCATGTTGATCAATCGTTATGCTGTGCATCCGTATGCACCATTATGGATGCAAAAATGACGTCTTTTTGACGTCTAACTTTAAAAAAAATAAAAATTCAGAATTGCATAACTACACATCCATAATTTCATAACTATATATCCAGAATTACATAAGTACACATCTATAATTTCATAACTATAAATCCAGAATTGCATAACTACACATCCATAACTTCATAACTATACATCCATAACTTCATAACTATACATCCATAATTGCATAACTACACATTTATAACTTCATAACTATAAATCCAGAATTGCATAACTACACATCTATAACTTCATAACTACACATCCAGAATTGCATAACTATACATACAGAATTGCATAACTAAAAATCCAAAATGAATGAACTAAAAAATGAATAACATAATGTTGTTGTTGGGAATCGAAATTGATTTTTCTTTAAAAGTAGGACGCGTGTTTTGATGCAAAACGACGTCGTTTTTGCATTCGTATGCACCATGAATGGTGCATACGGATACACAGCATAATTTGCCCACGTTGATGGACAAGCAATTATGTTTGGAAGAGAAGCATTGCCCAGAGCTCCTCTTTCCAAACATTTTCGATGAGGGATCCCACATCATTTACAAAGGAGAACATGTGGTTCTCATTTGTCTTTATTTATTTTATTTTATTTTATTTTTTAATTTTAATATTATTTTGTATATAGTTTTGTTTTGATTATTATTATTATATTTTTAATATTAATATTATTATTGTTGTAATTTTATTTTATTATTACATTATAACATAATAACAACAATAATAATATAAATTTTATTTTTGACAATTTTCTGCTGTGCAGTCAAATATTAAAAAGAAAAATATATTCTAAAAAATAAATCATTTTTCAAAAATTATTTTCCTACTTTCCAAAACAACTTTTATATCTATACAATTAATTTGTTAACTTGCATAATAATTATTAGATAATGGCGTTGTTTGATTATTGACAAATTCACCAAAATTTTAACAAATTCGCCATTTTAACATTTTGTCTTTAATCAAAACACTAAAAATATTATTTAATAACTAACTCATCAATTTTACTCCAAACTGTTAAAAAAAAAAACAACACATATACATTTTGGGTTAATCTTTCCCAAACCCCCTACTAAAAAATAATAAATTAAAAAAAAAATAAAAAACTAAAATAAAAAGTCACTAGGAACCGATTTATTGGCAGATTGAACTCACCTTGCTCACTCTGCATGCAATCCGTCACTGATTCCTCCGGTTGCCGTCGCCGTTTGTTGTTGTCCAAGCAAGCCAAAGCCGCCCAGCCAGTTGTCACTGGCTACCCAATGTTCCTTGCCGCCGCCCGCCGGAAGGAATCGAGAGAAAGTGCGACAAATGGATTGGCAATGGATTGCGATAATCAAGAAAGTGGAAAGAAAGGAAAAGAGTAAAGAAAAAGAAACATAAAAAGGAGAGAAATATGCATGCACTGGGACCTTGATGAAATGAGACCGGATTTAGGCATTTAGCTATCAGCTGTGGCCTGTGTGTCTCCAATTTGTGCAAATTAAAGTTCGTAAACCTCCAAAGCTGATTCCCGAGCATTCCTTCGGTCTTTCCCGATCTTAAATTTAGTCGTTTGGGTCATCATCATTCATCACTTACCTCTCAATCTTTGCTTAATTTGATGAACTCTCCCCGAGTGCTGCGACCGTAACCTCCAAGACTGTATTAGATTTTGGCTCAACATTTGTCCTGCGATCGTTTGTCAAAGCATCAAAGTCTCTGATGATCTGAAATCTGAAAGCTTTGATCCAACCGACCAACTTCTTGATCGCGTGGCTAACGCAGGATGAGATGAATTTAATCAGACAGGTCAGCAAATATGTTTAATCGGACCGCCCGCCCGCTAAATCAATCGGTCGGAAGTCTCCTGCCGCGTGAAAGTTTCCCGAGCATCTGGTACTCTGCAAAACTTCGGGCATTTTGTTAAGATTTTTTAATTTGTAATTTAAGATAGTGACTTTAAATCGCATTGTAAATTAGGCCTAAGAATGATCCTAACAAATTCTGTATATTACGGGCCGAGCGTAGAAAATGTAAAGCGGGAAATAGTCATGTATTGAGCCCGGTTAGGTTGGTGGTTCCACCGGCACCGTAAGTCCGGTCAGGTCGACTTTGTCACTACCGGTACTATTAAGTCCGGATCCGTCCTGGCTTGGTCGGTAGGTCAAAAAGTCTTACGAGGGTAGGTATAAATCCAGGTCCATCTCGACAGGGTCAGTATGTCAAGAAGCCTTACGAGGGTAGGCATAAGCCTAGGTTTGTCCCGGCACGGTCGGTAGGTCAAGAAGCCCTACGAGGGTAGACATAAGTCCGGGTCCGTCCCGGCATCGTCGGTAGGCCAATAAGCCCCACGAGTGTAGGCATAAGCCCGGGTCCGTCCCAACATGGTCGGTAGGCCAATAAGCCCTACGAGTTTAGGCATTGAGCTCGGGAAGAATCTCGGCACCATAGCTGTAACACTCTTAATTTTTTTAAAACATTTAAATCTTATGAAATCAAGGTAAATCTATTAATAATCATCCAAACAAAGCATAAACTGATCATAAGAGTCGGGGTGCTATGCCACACCTAGATTTGAAAACCTAGGTGCACAGAATAAATCTATTATTAATCATCCAAAAAGAACATAAACTGATCACATTCCTCCCCTCCTAAAGAATAAAGCTACGTTCCCACGACTTTTAGGCAAACTCATGCAAGTACTTATTAAGCTATAAGTAAGTTAACTATCAAAATAATCGAACAATCACAATTAAAAAAAGCGAGCAATTATCTGTCAAATAAAGTTGCCAATTGCAAGTTCCAAAATATTCCATCAAATAACAAATATCCAAATAATGCGTATTGACCAAATAATTAAGCAATAATGTGCAAGTCCTTAGCCGATATATGAATGGATTAATTAATAAAATATCCCAACTTTCATGCTTAAGCAAATAACCAAGTCCAACATTTATTTAAGAAACAAAATTAATAGCATGTCAAGGTAAATCATTAATAATCAAAGAATGATATGTGACAAAGCATGTAAAAGTATACAAGGATATCATAACTTTGGAGCAAGCGTAGGGAAACAAGGAACAAGTATAGGAAACTTAACAGAAAGCGATAAATAAACTCACAGTCTCCTAAGATTCTTATATCCTAAGAACTTAAACACCTAGAGTTAAAGCTTAATGTTCTAAAGTCTTGTCTTAAGGGCCTTATCCTAGGGTCGAACTTAGGCTCTGATACCAACTGTAACACCTCTAATTTTTAAAACATTTAAAGCTTATGAAATCAAGGTAAATATATTATTAATCATCCAAACAGAGCATAAACTGATCATAAGAGTGGGGGTGTTATGCCACACCTAGGTTTGAGAACCTAGGTGCACAGGCTACAACTAACTAATCCAAGCATAATCCACGAATAATATTCAAATTCCAGGCACACGGGCCATATCAACTATGACTAGAACTAACTAATGCTAAATCTGCGGGCCCGTCTAGCGCACTCCGAAGCTACTGGTCAAGGCCTGAAAAAACATGCGGTGTAACAACCGTCAGCGAATAATGCTGGTAACCCACTCCAACGCGTTAAGTACAATATAGGTAGATATAATAAAATCATTTTGCAACTGGAATACATATATACTTACGAGACTCTAATTTAAATCCAAGATCAAGACTCAAGACACGATAATAGACTCGACAATATAGAACAATCATAAAGACTAATATGCACCTAGAAACACAATACGGGGCATAATAGACAGATAAGCATATAAATAGCAAGTAGAGACAACAAAGGAATTCAAGATAGTCATTTAACAAGCAACCATCAAGTCACACAATCCATCTTCCAACCTTATACCAAGTTCCAACCTTGTAGGTCCCCTTCGTCCTTATATCAGTTCCAACCTATACCTCCAGGCCACCCTTATATCGCCTCTCTTATTCGTCCGGGCAACTACATGCCCCCACCAACAATCCACTTTTCAACCACCAACATATAAAGATAGCGTCGCAGTGCCATTCGCATGATCCGTATCTCTAGTACCAATATCAAGGGGTCAGCGCATATAGCCCTGACATGACACCGCAGCACTTATAACCTGACCCATGCTCAACGGCAAGCTAGTCGAAGGTGGGGTTGTGCCTTTAGCACAGTAACCGCTAGGACTGTACCTTTAGTACAATGACCGGGCGTCCGGGCACAAGTGGTGCCAACCGCCAACAATTCATTTCCGCCAATCACAATCTCATCATCATCAGTCACACCGGCCATTGCGCAATGACAACAATACTCATCATCATTCCATCAATCAACACATAATCAATCAATAACAATTAAAACATAACAACAACTACACGCACTACACATATATTCCTAGAACGGTATTCAAAATATCAAACGAGACTCATACATGACAAACGGGGTACAACGGGACACAGGGAAACAACAAACGGGGGAAAACATCACCACGCACATCAAATTTTCAGCGGGTGGGTGGCGGGTGGAGGACCACCGGCCGGCGGCGACCCTCTATTCCAGCGGGTGCCCGGCGGGCAGGCGACTGCCCGCCGGCTGCCCGCTGGAATAGTGCTTCCGGGCAGAGGGTAGGTGACGGGCACCCCTGCCCCCACCTATCCCCCACTGACTCATAGGAAACTTTTCGGTCCCGGGATCACTCGTGGAACCCGAAACCATGTCCAAACACATTCAAACACATAACGGCAACACCACATATTCAATTAACGGAATTAGACCAAGAATCATACAAAATACGTTCTAACACGATTCCTAAACATGCCAAGACTCCACATAGATCATTTAACGGTTCAGGAACATTCGGAACCACAAGAACATCAAGAAATCTATATGCAAAGTCCTAAATACAAGTCCTAGGCTAGACTCAACACCCGATCATGCATAATCCCACCCAAATATACCAAGAACATCATAATACGAAATTCACGATATAAACCCTAGGGCTCTAGACATAATTAAAATACGAGATCATTAGGGTTCTGTTACCGAGCCTCTTCCTCAATTTCCTTTTGCTAAAGCAAAACCTCCTTAAGTATCTTCAAGCTAATACCAAACGATATAAATTGCAAAACATATTGAAGTACGGGGGAATATAGTTAGAAAATGTAGAAAATTCATACGAAAAGAAAGAAATGATGGGATGGAGAAGCCCTACCGATGTGGAGAAGGAAATGATGGGGGAGGCTAGGGATTGAAAAAATTATAAATTTTTATTTATAGATGAAAAATACTAATTCAAAAGGAAAGTATAATAATTTGTAATTAAGGTAAACATTATTATTATTATTATTATTATTATTATTATTATTATTATTATTATTATTATTATTTAATCCCTCCAGAAGACATAGCATTTTCAATTTTAAAAACTAACTTTTTTTACCTGAGATAGGTGATACTAGATTTCTATGTGTATTATTTGACAAATAAAATGACATACATAAATATACTAGTTTTTTACGCGCATTGCGCGATTGGAATAATGCCCATTATTTTTTTTTTTTAAATAAGTATTTTAAAGTATATCAAGAAAATGTTATATTGAAATTGTTCATGCATAGATAATTGAATGTTGAATTTGCGTATTTAAATAATAATTATAAGTTTACAAATGCAAGATAATATAGTCAAGATTGATTATAATTGTCAATAAAATAATTGTATAGGTATGGTTGAAACCAAATACGGGACATAAGGGGAAACAAATAAAAATTAGGGCATAAAATATTAAATACATACTAATATTGAAGAGCTAACTACTGATGTTGTACTCGTACAAGGACATTGCGAGATAGTTTACCACTTCAATTTGTTGTGATTTGAATACTCTTTGTGTCAATAAATCCCCCAAGTAGTTAATATGATTGACTTAATTTTATTTTTTTAAACCAATTATTATTATTATTATTATTATTATTATTATTATTATTATTATTATTATTATTATTATTATTATTATTATTATTATTATTATTATTATTATTATTATTATACCCTTAGGTCATTTTACATGTTAATCTAAACAGATTTTTTTTTTAAATATCTTTTTACCAACCGTTGATATATTCGCTAGTCAAATCCGCTAATGCTAACCGCTAACTGCTGATTGTCAAACAAGGACATTGCGAGTTAGTTATCACTTCAATTTGTTGTGTGATTTGAATACTCTCTTTGTCAACAAATCCGTCAAGTAGTTAATATGATTGGCTTTATTAATTATATTCTTTTAATTTTTTCATGGTACTAATAAATACTTGGTAAATAAATATATAGCATTATTTTGTATTATAACTTTGATATTTAATTAAAAAATAGTGCACAAAAAAGATAATAGACAATGTAATGGATATAATCAATTGATGATTTTTTTTTTTTTTTGAAAATAATTGATGAATTTGAATGTAAAGAATTTTTACATTGGAGAAAAATAAAGACAATATAACTAATGAAATTATTTCTCTTAATTAATTTATTGATAATGAATAATTTTTTTTTAATAAAGACATTATATGAACAATGTAGTGAATATAATCAATTGATGAATTTTAATTTAAAGAATTTTTATATTGGAGAAAAATAAAGACAATATAACTAATGAAATTATTTCTCTTATTTAATTTATTGATAATGAATAATTTTTTTTGAATAAAGACATTGTAGACACATAATTCTAAATTAAAGAAATGCATATATATTATTTTTTGTTGTAGCTACTAACTATGCCAACTTTGATTGGGATGGGGTTCGAACCTAAGACATTTTTTATTGAAATCAATGAGTAAGTTAATGGTGAACTAAAATAAATTAACGGAAAAGATAATATTTAACGGAAAAGTTAACGGATAATCATATTCATTAAGGATAAATTAGGAAATCTTAAGGAAAAATAAAAATCTGATCAATCTAAGCCATTCATTTGATTAAAAAATTTGACCGCCATTTTTTCTATCAATTATAGGCCTAACTCTCTTGGCTTCTTATTAGTATATATATATATATATAAATATATATATATATATATATATATATATATATATATATATACTAGTTTTTTACGCGCATTGCGCGATTGGGATAATGCCCAATATTTTTTTTTTAAATAAATATTTTAAAGTATATCAAGGCAAGATTAACGTGCATTGCGCAATTGGAATAATGCCCAATGTTTTTTTTTAATAAGTACTTTAAAGTATATCAAGGCAAGATTATATTGAAATTGTTCATGCATAGATAATTGAATGTTAAATTTGCATACTTAAATAGGCAATTCTAAGTTTACAAATGTAAGATAATATAGTCAAAATTGATTATAATTGTCAATAAAATAATTGTATAGGTATGTTTGAAACCAAATACGGGACATAAGGGACAACAAATAAAAATTATGGCATAAAAT